GATAGATAGATAGATAGATAGATAGATAGATAGATAGATAGATAGTTTATTTGAAAAGAGTTACTGCATAGGCTCCTAGATAACTCCCTCTTTGAATCCCTTTCTCAAGCTTTTTAGGTTTTAGGCCACTTATCTTGTTATCCTCAAGTTGCCATCACATTAAATCAGTCAAGTTGTGGCTTCGTTAGGCTCATTAGTTTAGTTTGACTCATTAAGAGAATCAAGGACAGTCTGAATCTATATCCAAAGAAGTTGGTTACCTATTTGAAATGAATTGAATATGCTCTTCAATGTGAGGAAGTGTGCTCATTAAAAATCTTTCTTGACAAAATAAATCTGTCGTTCCAGTTTCAAGGTGGTGTCTGGTCCTTAGATGTGTCTGTTTGCGATGGATTAATGACCATGGATGTAATGCTCTGCACAGCATCAATATTCAACCTTTGTGCAATCAGTGTGGACAGGTTTGTATTTTAATTTCAGTCAAATATCCCTGATATTTTGTATAGCATTACTTTTCCTGAGGAATGAGAAAAGTTGCTTTGGGAGCCCTCAGGCATTTTCTTGAGAAAGAATGCAGACTGCATAATCAGTTTTTAGCATATTATTTTGACCTAATCGGGATTGCAGAAACAGGTCATGCTGGTCTTGAAGTTTATTCTTATTGTGCGCAAGACTATATTCCAGCATATCAGTGCTGGACACAGCATTCTTTGAGTGTTTTTATTAAAGAAAGCTAAGATGAGCAATATTCTGTGAATTAGTGGTTCTCAACTGGTGAGTCGTAAACCAAAAATGGGACACATCTGATAGCAGATAGGAAAATAACAATGCTAAATGCAAATAATAAAATGCATCAGAATAAATGTAACGTCTTCTGTTGTTGATGTCAAAGGCAATGTGTCCCATTTTGGCACAAATTGATTGTTCACTTAGAAGCTGGCCAAATCAGGAAGATGTTAAACATGCGTGTAGCAACTCATAATGTAATAACTGCACGTGTAGCAACTCATAATATAAAAACTGCACATAATGTAATAAATATTACATTGTTATTGTAATAAAATGTTCATATTGTAATATTTTTCTCAAAACGTAATAAAATCTTGAGCTCATAATGTAATCATTTTTCAATGTAATAACAATTTTTCACATAATGTAATAGGTTATTGTATGATAAATTTATTACATTATGAACACACTGTGGCAACGTATAATGTAATCACAGTTCATAATGTAATACCAGCACATAATTAAAAAAAATATGTTGTTTACAATATCATAATTATCTTTCAATATAATACATTTGAGCACAAAACATAATCATAGTTTTATTAAAATTAAATTAGGCTTATTAGGCTACATTGTGAACTTTTATTTTTTATAAAAACCTTACTAATTTTGTGATTATTGCATTATTAATTATTTAGATATAGGCCTGGTTTCACAGACAGAGCTTAGACTAAACCAGGATTAGGCCATAGTTCAATTTAAATCATTTTTATAAACGTGCCTTAGAAAAAAAACATTACTGGTGGGCATTTTGAGACAAAATAAAGGCACTGATATATTTTAAGATCAGTCAGTGCCAGTTTCTTTCAGCTGAATTCTTCCTGAGGTAAATGTCACGTAACTGACACATTCTTCACAGGCTGTTCTACTGATGATTTCCCTGGTTAAAACTGCTTATAGGCACATAAATTATGCATGATTGTAAGTTGTACTTTATTTTTCAACATATCCTCTGATGTACATTCATGTTATAACTTGTATTAAAGTGAAGAATTGTTCATTTAACTTGTGCTCCGTGCTGCCGTTGCCTGAGGCAGATAACGCGATCTATCCCAGACTAGATTAGACTTTGGAAACTTTTATTTGTTTTTTCCAAATTTGTTTATTAAAAATGCCTTCAATTCAAGGACATAGAATTTAGTAGGGGCGCAACTGAATTGTTCCTAGCAATAATTTTGATCAATTAAAATATATTTATATGTAACCACTATCATTGTCATCATGCCACAGACATTAAAGTCCACATGAAATCAAAATTGACAATATTTATTTTGTTAGCGCACATTGCGAGTCTTAAGGTCAACAATTAATCTGTGCAAGTTAATCCTCTGAAAAAAATAGTTTGTTTTGGTAATCTTTAAATCTGATCATTTGCTTCCACTCTGGAATGGCATGCCTTCTCTGATGACGTCAGTTTGACGGCTTGAGCAGAATATGCTTAACCACACTCCTCCGACCATTAGTCTGCTGTGAGTGAGAGATTAGAGGAGGAGCGCAAAAATTAAACCCCGTCCTCTACTCAATATTCCGTTTCAGTTGGAAATGCGCCACCACACTGAAATCCAGTCGGCAGCAACTTCTGGTTCACGAGGACTTTAAAGTAAATATGTCAGCAAACTGTGCTCTTTCTAGGATGTGCATTTAATCCATGGCCAAAGTAAGAACATAATCTAAGTGTTTAAAACATGCAAAGTAGGATTGCCAACTGTTCCCGTATTTAAGCAACATTCCATATTAAATCCATACAGAAAGCAATTGATCATGTCACGCCCAGTTTAGGGATCTAATCACTCTCACACAAAAAAACCCCAAGAGCACCCTTAGTTGAAACTGTAATAATAACATATTTGGCTAACTCTTCTGTGCATATTTGCATTTGCGCTCTGGAGAGCATCAGATGTTTCTATTTACAATGTTTGCAGCATTGAGCAGTGTAGCTAATCACAGACACGTCCATTGAACCGATGAACTGAGATGAGTGACAGCCTCAGTGCATTTGAAATTATAAAGGGAGCACTCTTTGCACACATACTAGACTATCTGTAATGCATTCAGAATTTTAAAGGTTATTTTTTTTATGATGCTAAGAGGAACAATGTCCCCTCATTAAAGTTCAGCTATAGTTTAGTTACTCTATATAAATGCTAAAATGAATCTCAGACGTGAACATATTTGCT